TGCTTAATCCTCATAATGATCTTATGAGAAGGCATGATTATTCTCTTACATATGAGGAAACTGAGAATGAAGAAATTAATTACCGAAGTACTCTGGCAAAGCACTTAGTCAGACTCATAGTTATGTTGCTTTTTTTTAAAACTTATTTATTTGTTTGTTTATTTGTTTATGACAGGTTCTCACGTATCCCGGGCTGGCCTTGAACTATCTATGTACCAAGGATGACCTACTTCTGGTCTTCCTGACTAATCTCCTGACTTCTGAGATTACAGGCATGTGCCACTACACCCCGTCTGTATAGTATTGGTATCTCGTGCATGCCAGGCAAGCAACTGGACAGCCCCAGAGCCCTGCTATTAGCAGAAAGCACCGATTAACTAAAAATTGTGACTGTACTGCAATCACGAGAAAGCAGTCTCTAAGAAAATGGGAATATTCACCTCCCCATAATTCCTTCAATAGAAGATGTCTAAAACTAACAAAAACAGGAGGCACAACAGCTCTGCAGCAGAACCTTGCTTAGCATGCGTGAGGCCCCAGGTTCAATGCTCCGTACCTCCAGTGTTTTTCTGGTGGGGAGTTGGGGTGGGTTGGGCTGGGGTACAGCTCAACTAGGAAAAAAAGCTTCCCTGGCAAGCCCAAAGTCCTGGTTTTGACCCCCAACACCACATAAATAAGTCATGTTGCCATATGATTGTAACCTTAGCATTCAGGAGGTGAAGGCAGGAAGATCAGAAGTTTAAGATCATCAACACTGGGTTTGAGGCCAGCCTCCCTATAAGAACTGAGGAAAGGGGGAGGGGAAGAAGGAGAGAAAAAGATGTCTGATGTCAAACCTCACAAGACCCACATGGTAGGAGAGAACAGGCTCTCCTGACACATCTCCTGACCCCCATGGATATATATGGAGCATTCACACTCCTGACCCCAAGTTAATAAACAGTGGTAATTTTCAAAAGAGAAAAGAAAAGCATTACTAAATAAAACATTCTAAATAAAATAAAGCACTTTATTTAGAAAAAGGTTTGCACCAGACAAAACAGCTAAGAATTGAAAGTGCTCACTTCTGGCTAGAAAGGTGGCTCAGGGGTTAAGAACACAGGTTGTTCTTCCGGGAGCCCCAAATTCAATTCCCCTCATCATTATGGCAGCTCACAACTGTCCATAACTCAAGTTCCGGGGGAGCTGACGTCCTCACACAGACATGCAGGCAGGCAAAACACCAATGTACATAACAAAAAATTTTTTAATCCTAATTTTAAAGAAGTGGCCACTTCCACATAGCAGAACTTAAGGTAGAGAACAAGTATATTCTTCCAAAAACCCCTGATATTAGTTTTTTTTTGTGAATAACATTTTTTTAATTTTTTATTAATTACACTGTATTCATTTTGTATCCCCCCATAAGCCCCTCCCTCCTCCCCTCCCTAGTTTTGTTTTTTAAATCATGTACAAGAGCAGGAAGTGGTGGCACATCTAAAGCCCAAGCACTTAGGAGGTGGAAACAGGAGGACCAGAAGTTTAATGTCATCTTAGGGTACATGAGACCTTGTCTTAAAATGCCAAACACGAACCACAAAAAGTAAAAATAAATTATGTACAAGTATTCTTTAAGTTTTATTTATTTATTTATTTGATATGTATGAATGTCTTTCCTACATATATATATGTAAACCACACACAGACCTGATGCCCATGAAGTTAGAAAAGGGCACCTAGTCTCCTGGAACTGAAACTGTGGGTGGTTGTTAGCTACTATGTGGTGCTGAGAATCAAATCAAGGTCTCTCTGCAAGAGCAATCAGTGACCTACTAGCTCCGAACTACCCTGAAGTGCTGAGCCATCTCTCCATCCCTCTAACATATATTTGTTTCCTTTAAAGAGTCAAAGGGAGGAAGGGGGAAGGCAGGCAGAGATCACCCATGCCAGAGACTGCATGTGCACAAGTGTTCTTCTACACACAGCCTCCATGGCCCTCCCCTGGGGACATCTGGGTTTTGCTCTGGAGCACACTGCCAATCAAAGAACTATCCTAGTTAAGGAGAATCCTAGTTAAGGGATAATTTACCTGTCCCTGGAATCTCAGAATGGCAAAATGACCTGAAACGGCTAGAACACCCAGGAGGAAGCACCCACAGTCCTTCCCAGGACTCCCTTGGTTTGTGCACTGTTCCTGTCCTTCAAATAAATTCCTCTTTAGCTAGCTAGGTTACTTTCTGTTGTTTACTATAACCAAAGGAAAGTACTAGAAATGTCTAGTAAATATGAGCTGGAGATTTATTCTTTATATGCCAATATAATTTACCAAAGTCACTTTTAAACAAACATTTTTGACGTTCAAATACATTTTACAGCCAGACACAGTGGTCTACACCTTTAATCCCATCAAACATACATATCTCAGACACATAGTTTTTGTCAGAAAGACTATCCTCACCAACACTCCAAGGATATTAGTTCTATTTTTTTTTTTTTAATGCTGTTTCTCCTCTGCTATGGTTTTTGATTTGAGACAGGTCTCACCACGTAGTAATGGCTGGCCTGAAACTCACTATGTAGATCAAGCTGGCCTCGAACTCAGATATCCATCTGCTTCTGCCTTCCAAGTTCTGGGATTAAAGGCTTTTACCATTATGCCCAGCCTTTCCACTTAGTTTTTGTTTGTTTGCTTAGTGACAGGAACAAAGACTTCTGATTAAGGAAAAGCACTCCCCCAAAAAACAAAGGTGGGGTACAGTGCTGGGGACAGACTGAAGCTCAAAAGCTTTCTGCCCCACTGTGTTGATTTCAGACCCACTAGTGAGCTATGGTCTGTAGTTTCATAAAGCTGTCCTTATAACTGTCCCACAATAAAAGCACTACAGTGTCCTAGCTGTACTTTCACGTCAGTGTGTGAAGCACTAAAAGACAAATGGTTCACAGGGGACACATGGTTCCAGGATTCTGACTCCAACCATCTACACTCCCAAATTCTGAGGGCTGAGAGTGGGGAGGAGAGGCATGAGGCCCCGGGGTTCAAACCTCAGCAGCTACAGTGTTTTCCTGGTGGGAGTGGATTCAGGGCGGGTTGGGATACAGCTCAATTAGACCGAAAGCTTGCCTGGCACACCCAAAGGCCAGGGTTCGAACCCCAGCACCACATAAACCAGGCATCTGTTGATTCATTTATTTATTCACACCTTTTGCACCCTCACTGAGCACTGTTCAATGGTATGAGTACATGACTACATGTTCCCAGGGACTGTCCAGAGCCATAAATTCTATCTACAGGTTGGCTCAGAGGAGAGGAATCCAGGATGAAGCCTGTCTCCTGACTGACTGATTGTTTACTGTCTGCCCTTCGTCCTCAAGAGCCCAGGAATGTCTCCAGGAGTAAACCCAGGCAAGCGTTTTAGTCCTGGCTTTAGAGTAAAATAAATCTCAAGTCCAGCCTGTCTCCTCTCTCCAGTGAGATCTAAACACACTTATACCTGAGAACAAATTCCTTGCTATTTTCCATCTCTGCTTTCTGTCCCACCAAACAAGAAACAAAAGTATCAAGGGCCAGGTGACATGTCCTCTGTGCTGCTGGTGTTGAGGTTTTAAAGGTCTTTCTTCTATATGATGTGGAAAAGAAGCAAAGGAAGCCTCTGACCCTTCACTCATTCATTCCACATTCTTTAACTGAATCAACCATCCCAAAACATCAAAAGCATGGAGGACTTATGGTTGGGGGGGTGGGTTGTTTTGTTTTTCCATTTGGTCAGCATCTCTTATCTAGGGGGAAAGGCTCCAGTTTGGGCAGTGTCAAGACTTGTAATGTGGAAGAAATATCCATATTTCTAAGCAACGATGTCAAGGGGACAGTGAACCGACTTCAATGTACTCTAAACTTCAAATGAGCACCTATTCTTTGAAGAAGAGCCACAATCCAGCTGTAGCTGGGTTAGCTTTCCCTCAGGGACATGCTGAGACAGGCAGAAGCAAAGGAATGGGGGGGGGCACAAACTCCCCATCACCTTGGCTCTCATTTCACTCTCCCACAACACCTTGGAAATAAATTAATTAGCAGAGATCTACGGTGTATTTGGATCACCCAGCAACGCCTAGAAACATTCAGCATCAAATTACCGATCTTTCCCTCTGCGGGAAGAAAGATCATGCGGTCAACTGAGGGTGGTGGGGTGGGGAGGACTTGAAGGGAGCAGGGCAAACTGGCTTGCACTGGAGATCTCTCTCTCTCTCTCTCTCTCTCTCTCTCTCTCTCTCTCTCTCTCTCCCCCCTAGCCCTTCTCCAGGTGGGTTTCCACCTCTGCCCGGGTTCTGAGACATCCCCTTCATACACGGACTTGGCAACTGGACACGGAAGCATAATCCAGTTAGCTACTGATTGACCGAAAGGAGGCTGGAGATCCGAAAAGCAAGAAAAAACGAGACCCGAAAGAGGTGACCGTCTAGCGGAAAGCTCTACCCATCCTCTTAGCTAAAGTAAAGATAGGATCTAGGAACAATTCCCGGAGTTGTCTGAAACCTACCGCCCCTCGCACGCTCCCGCCTCTCAGTTCCCAGCCCTAGGATTCCACCCTCTGCCCCCTTTTCTAGTTAAAGGATCGCCTGAAGCATCGTAAAAGTCTTTGAAGGGCTTCTGAGGCCACCGGAAAACACGGAAAAGCCTAACCTGCCTGGGCCGGCACAGCGTCCCAAACAACGCAGGGATCCGGTCCCCTGAGCGTCTCCCACGAGACTAGCTGCCCACAGGACGCCTGCAGCCCGCACCGGGGCTGCAGTGTCCTTGCCAAGGACAGGTACTCCTCAGCCCTGGGGCCGCCAGCGTTTCGGGCCGCGCCTCCCACCCCACCGCCCGCCGCAGGGCAGAGGAAGAAAGCGCACGGGACGACGCGCGGCTGACCGCACCGAGCCGGACGTCAGGTGGCGTCGGCTAGCTCCCGGGAGGCTCGGGAGGGGCGCGACTGGAGAGCCACGGTGCCGAAGCGGGCAGGCGGGTGAGCGCGACGACCTACCGCGGTCTGGCTCTCCGGGTGCACGTCCACCAAGGTACACCAGTTCCGCGTCCCGTTCATCTTTCCGCGGAGATCGAAGCAGCGTCCTCAACTCTGAGGCCGGGCGGCAACTGGGCGGGCGCGCGCGGACCTGTCCTCCTAGTAAAGACGCGTCGGGGGCGGGGCTGAAGATGGGCCACGCCCAGGGCGGTATTTGTCAATGAGGGTGAGCGGAAGCAAGAGGTGGGCGGTGCCAGGAGGCTTCTGCACTAGCCTACCGGCGCTATGGCAGGTTTCCATAAAGGTGGGGTTTGGAAGTGACATTTGGGTGGTGGTTTAAGAGTTTTACTTAAGGTAAGACGAAGTACGGGCTTGCGGTGGTCATCTCAGCATTCTTCATTAGTCTTGTCTCCAGGACCTGTGCAGGGAAAGAATTGCTCTGGTCCTTTGTGAATCGGTGAATCGGGCCCGCACACGCTTCTATGGTCTTCCTAAATGTAAGCTCTTCCTAAATGTAAGCTAGGCTGTGGGCATTTTAGAACTAAGTAAATCTTTCCTCTGTGGTAGAAAGGCAGGCACCAAGGGCCAGCTCACTCGGACTAGTCTAAGCCAGTCTGGCAGGTGCTTTTTTCCTGGCAAGCCGCCCAGGCCGAAGTCAAAGCCGACTAAGCTCTGGGTGGGGCTTGCTTTGCAGAAGCTAGCCTTATTTGGTGGAGAGAGGCGGGGACGCATTCCCTTAAAGGGAATCTGCACCCTAGAGAAAAGATGAGTCTCAATTGCACCAAAGGTATTTATGCTCAAGCTTAAACTGGGATCTCGAGGGCTAACCTCTGGTAGATGGCTATCCCACTGACAGAGTCCACAGGGATAGCAGGCAGAGTTCGTAAGGTTTGACCAGCTTGAGTAGGGGGTATCACCATAGCTAGCAATTGGTTTTGGTGAACAGCTTCAAGTGGGTCTGGACTCTGAGTCACTTGCCAGTTAAAAATGGATGCAGAACTATACGTGGAAGAGAAATGCTGGAGATATCAGTGACCCAGGAATGGGTCAGTTCTGACACTTTCTCTATCCCTCAAATAAAAAGTGATGATTGTGGTGATTTGAATGATAAAGGCCCCCATAGGCTCTGTCGTTTGAATAATTGGTTCCCAGTTAGATGCACTGTTTAGGAGGTTGAGGAAATGTAGTCTTGCTGGAGAACTTGGTCACCAGGGCAGGCTTTGAAAGGTCAAAGACTCCCCCCTCCTGTCCCCTTCCCAGTTTGCTCTCTGCTTCCTGCTTGTTTAAGGTAAGCTATCAGCTTTCTGCCTGCCTGCTGCTATGCCTCCCACCATGATGGTGATAAGACTGTCATCCCTTGGGAACTGTAGGCCCAAATAAACACTTCTGTAAGTTGCCTTGGTCACAGTGTTTTATCACAGCAACAGAAAAGTAACTAATATAGCACTTCTTGCTATTCCCAGAGGTTGTTAGAAGAAAATGGTTCTACTATAAGTAGTCTGTTACTAGATCCTTGATCAGCCATAAGAGACCTCTGAAAAATGAACTAAAGCCTCATGTTAATATACAGTTTAAATGACTTCTTGAAATAAATAGAGCCTGCTTAGCAAGGAAATGTGCCAAGCCTAATGACTTGGGTTCAATCCCCAGGACCCACACTATGGAAAGCAAGAACTGACTCTCAAAAGTTGTTTTCTGTCCTCCACAAATGTAGCATTCACATGTACAAGTGAGTATGCACACACACACAGTTTAAAAAAAAAAAAAACTTTAGCATAGACCGTCAATCACCCAGGAAAATGAAGACAAGAACTTCAATATAGATATGTCATTTTAATATTTAATTTAAAATAAACTGAGGCTGGATTGGAAGAAAATATCTGATTTTCAGAATATCTTTTTTTTTTAATCATGAAATTACACATCATTAATGAGAACAGAACTTACTTTGGAAATAAGAGGTGAACCATCCCCATTACCTTCACCCACCAGAACTTGGCACGCCCTGAAACTCAAAGGAGGAATATATTCTCCGTTACCCCTTCCCATCTCTGAGATTCAGCTTCTAACTTCATGGAAAAGCTCTGAATCAGGACCCACTTCCTGAGAAAAGCAAGGATCTATACAGAGGCTGGGTACATCTGGTCTGAGAAGCCACAGGAGGCCACTGGGACTAGATGTTTGCTTTTAGAGCCTGTATAAACTGTCACCATGGTTCCCAGGTACAACCACCTATGGCAGCATCCAGAGTCACAGAGGGCGAGAAGATGGAAACCCTGAGCAGAGCCAGTCCCCACCACCCTATAGAAGCCCTTCTCCCGGAGGCTGGTTGGCAGAGCAGCCTGTAGCTCTCTTGCCTAGTCACTGGGGAAGGAGGACAGGCTGAGAGCCTCCAATGAGGAAAGGCTGGTCTTTGGAGAGGTATGAATGTGCAGGTTTATGGAAGGCAAGAACAGCATCCTCATCTCTCACACTGGTAAGGCACTGAGAGTAAAGCAGCAAGGCAGGGATGCTAAAGATGGAAAAGAAAGTTGAAAGGTCCCCTGGACCCAGTGACTTGAAGAAAACAAAAAGCAGTGTGACTGAAGAGATGCTAGGGACTACCACAGGGACCTACGCCTGTGCAAAAAGAAGGGTCTGAGAGTGGGTAGAGCCACACCTGCATGCCCTTTACCCATAATCCTCCCTCCCCTGCTCCAGAGGGGGAGGGACAAAAGTTGTAGGGATTCAAGGAGCAGAACAACATTGGGTATTTTCCTGAGCCATATGGTTAAATATTAAAGAAATAAAGCTTTACATACATGGCAACATCCATCCCTTTCTGTTCTTCAAAGACCCACCTAGTGTATATGTGGATCATTAGGCCCACTCTGCGGGGGAGATGATGGAGAGGTCAGAACCCTAGGAAGGGCTCAGCAGGCCTAAATACCCACTCTTCAAGTGAAAAGGACAAGCCCATCCAGCAGCTCATTGCTAATATATTTGTTGATCACCATCACCCTGACTCCTCCCAGTCTTAAGTCTGAACTGAATCAACCATAGGGGAAAAAACAAAACAAAAAACAAACAAACAAACAAACAAAAAACAAGACTGAGGAAGGCAGGACAGAGCAAAGCAGAGAATGGATGGATGGATGGATGGCTGCGAGGCTTGACCACAAGCCCGTTTGTGGTCCTTAGTAGAGCATGAGCTAACAGGAGCTGGTCTGCAGGTTGCTCTCAGTAAGCAGTGATGCAATGGATGAGGGGTCATAGACGCTGTCAAACTCCTCATCAGAGCTCAGCCCCTCTTGTTTGAGGGCTGACTCAGCAGCTGAGCGGGAAGCTTTTCGCCTGAGTCAGAGAAAAAAGGAATAGACTGAGACACTCACCCTTCCACACTAAGGGAGTAATTCTTCTAAGACCTAAGGCTACTCGAATGGTCTCCTACTAGTAAGGGATCTGGGAAGATAAAGTGAAAGACAGAAGCTAAGATATAAGAAGTAACCACACTGGCTTCTAGGCAGGGACAAGAGATTACAGATTTCTCCTTATCCAGCTTGGGAGGAACCATTCCCATACGCGCGTGAGCGCCCATGAGCACGGTGAGGTACTGAAGGGTGGCCATACCAGGCATCCTTTTCCAAGGCTTTGATCCGGGCCTGGAGCTGTTCATTGACCTCATGCTGTTCCTCCAGTTCCCGCTGCGCCTTCTTCCGTAGGCTGTCCAGCCGCTCAATTTCCTCTTCTGCTTCATCCACCTGCCGCTTCAAAGCCTTCACCCTCAGGGTTAGCTAAGCAGGACACAAGTCCTCACATCAGAAAAGCATCTACTACCGAGGGCTGGGGTCTCCCCTGCAATGATTCTGACAAGGGACAATCCACACACTCCCTCCTACCCCTGAAAAGAAAAAGGTTGTGACCCTGTAGCCTCAGGAGTTGTAGAGAGGGCATTAGGGAACTGAGGAGATAGCAGAGACAACAAAGCACTTGCCATGCAAGCACAGGACCTAAATTCAGTCTCCCTAGGGCACACTAGCCATCCAGTCAACCTAACCTATTTGAACCTATTTGGCAAGTTCCAGGCCAGGGAGAGACTTTGCCTAAAAAAAGAAAAAAAAAAAAAAAAAGATGGATGGTGCCTGAGGAATAATAGTCAAGTTTGTCCTCCAGCCTCTACACACATATGCAAAATTTGCACATGCATACGCATATATACAACCCACACACAAGCATGGCACAAAGACTATTTGGGGAGTCAATGAATTAATGTATATATAACACTTAGAGAAACGAGTACACTCAATACAGAGCCTTCTACTCTAGGCTAAACCTCTGAGGCTAATCTATGTCCTTACACAAGCAAAATGTGTGGATGCCTTATAGGGGATAATGGCCTCCCTGGGCTTCAGAGAACACAGGGTGCCATGTGGTCACCTGGTCCTTCTGGTCATTGACGTGCTGCCGTTCATCATCAATCTGGATAGAGAGCTCCTTAACCCTCCGCTCCAGTTTCCGATTGGTGGACTGCAGAACTGTCTTCTCTCTGAGAGGGAGAGGAGGAGATCTATAGCTGTTGACCTCTATAAGGGAGCCTTTACTTAACACTGGACTGCCTCCCAGGACTTTTCTGTCATGAGCCTCACCAATACATGGGGAGAGTCCGGGGAAGATCCTAAGAACCAGGGAGAGAGAAGCCACACACATTCCAGAATTCCCACAACTCTGCATTATACTATAGCCAAAAGGGGACTCATCCCTGAAGATGAGGCCAGGTTGGCCAGGCGTGAGGTAGAAGATGGAGGAAGACCCAGAGAAGGAAAGACCCAGAGGAAGAAAGGGAGGGGGAGGGGGCTGAATGACAGGTTCTTATCACCTCTCTTCAGCTTGCAGCCGCTCTTGCAATAGTTGATTCTGGGACTCCAGCTGGGAGAGGCTGGCACTGGGCTTCTGGAAGCCTTCTGAGCTGGCCAGCCGGGTCTTCAAATCCTTGTTCTGAGAGAGATGGGAAAATTCCATGCTTAGCACCTAGCTGGTCCCCTGTCTGGCCCCTGACTCTATCCCCAAGACTCCTTTTCACCTGTCTCTCCAGGGAGATTTTGTCACACTCCAAGTCCTGTCGAGCAGACCTCTCCTGCAT